CTGTCTCAGACATTTTCATAGAACAAGGAAGCTTTGGTGACTAAGATATCTTTTAAGGCATAACCACCTGCCAGTAATTTTCCACCAGGGCCGGTCACTGTTTGAAGGACCTTGAGAATGTCTGCTCCCGACATCAGAGTCACCTTGATGGCAGTGAGTTTTTGCTTTTGTTTGTTTATTACTTTGGAAGAAACCAATGGGAACCTTCACCTGGAGATTAAAGACAAAAAAGATGCTTATGAGGTATTAGTGAGATAACAATCTGTGAGATAACAGACCTCTGTCTTGGTTTTCCTCGCTGTTACAACAGGAATAACTATAAGTAGGCAAGGTGCTATCAAATCGGTTTTGGCTCATAGCAACCGTATGTACAACGGCACTAAACTCTGCCTGGTTCCATGCTGCCCTCGCAGTTATGTTGGAGCCCCTTGTTGGAGCCACTGTGCCAGTCCATCTCCTTGAGGGGCTTGGCTCTTTTTCATTGACTACCCTACCAAGCATCATGTCCTTTTCTAGAGGCTGGTCTCTGCTGATAATGTCCAGAGTGTGTGAGATGAAGTCTTTCTTGCCATCCTCATGTCCGAGGCTGTATGCTCTTCTGGCAGTCCGCGGTACTTTCAGTATTCCTCATAATGCAAATGGAATCATTCTTCTCTGGTGTAGTAGAGTTTAAATTCTAAGCACGCCAATTCAATTCGCAAAAGTTTATGGATGGCAATGACAACCCAAAATCCATTTGCAGGGTCCCCCATATATATAGGTTGTCTCCATTGAATTCTGTCCGTTCATTGACCAAGGATGTAGCCCTGGTGGCCAGTGCTATCCGTGCTATTCGTTGGGTCAGCAACTCAAAACCACCAGCCAATCCACAGGAGAAAGATGAGGCTTTCTACTCCCATAAGGAGTTAAGTCTCAGAAACTCATTGTTGGTTCTACCCTGTTCTATAGGGTCGCTATGAGTCATCATGACTAGATGGCGGTGTGTTTGGGTTTTTGGGTTTGGTAGGTAATCTTGCCCCTGGGAAAAATGCCTTGAAAAGTAGAGTACTTCCCATCACCTCCAGCCAGCCCACGGAGGGAGGGACAGTCTATTTTAGGGGCTTACCTGGGTGTTTCCTTAATGGAAATTATCGTATTGGGGACAGTAGTGGGGCAGGAGGGTGTTGCATAGTAAGGTGTCATGTCCTATTAATCTTACCCGACTTTGTTGATTGGAAGGCCCTGGACCAATCTTGTAAACCCTTCTAACAGTGTACTCAACCGTGGTCCCATGCCTACTTCTGTATGTAGTCTAACCTGTAGCTGTGATGTACTGATCTGCCGCCAACCATGACGTTAGGACAGTTTCTTTTGTTCCGTGCCCTATTTATCTAGCTTCGCAGTTGTGAGTCTTTGGTTGCCATTTTGACCTTGTGCTGATGGCTTCTTGTGTCTTTGTCTTTGTCCCTTTAGGGCTCAGTAAATGTTCTTCTTCGATTCTATTTGAGGTTGGGGCCTCTTTTGCATCATTAAAACACTGGTCTTCCCTTCAGCAGTGACTCCCGCTCTGGCAGCTCTGACGCTGGGGCTGGCATTGCCTTCCACCACCACTTTGTCAAGCTCATTTCCTGGTCTGACAACGGGTTGGGCTACAGCAACAGAGTGGTGGACCTCTTGGTCCACATGGCCTCCAAGGACTCAGAGCCCCCCTGGACCACCAGCCCCAGCAACAGCACTAGAGGAAGAGTGGCCCTCAGCTGCTGGGGCCTCTCAACTCAATCCCCCAACTTGATCCCCCAACACACTGAGAATATTCTATCCTGACCCCCTGAAGGAGGGGGAGGGGCTTAGAGAGCCCCACCTTGTCATGCACCATCAATAAAGTACACCGTACCCAGCCCCCCACCCCCAAACCACTGGTCTTCCTTTATTAATTGTCCAGCTTTCCCATGCATATGGTGTATCATGGTCCTCAGTGTGATATCTTGGGACCCGTGAAGCAGGTTTACCCAGTACAGCACGTCCTTTGATCTCAACTGCTGCTTCCACAAGCACTGATTATAGTTCCTAGCAAGAAGAAATCCTTGACAGCTTCAGTCTTTTCTCCCATTTATCATGACGTCTGTCGGTCCAGTTGTGAGGATTTTTTGTTTTCTGTACATTGTGTTGTCATCCGTACTGGAGGCTGTAGTCTGATCACCGTCTGTACGTACTTACTTAAGTCCTCTTGATGCTGTGCCCTTCACATAGTCCAGTTTGTTGGATGATTTGCTCAGCATGCAGATTATTTAAGGATGGTAAAGGGATACAATCATGATGCACATCTTCCCTGGTTTTAAGCCATGCAGTTTCTCCTTCTGTTTGAAGGAAGAGGAATTAGACCTCGTGGTCTAATTCTATATCATCCTAAATTGTTTTATGTTTTTGTCTTGTTTACTCAGCAAGATTGTGAAATTGCACAGGTCAGGACCAATCATGTCTCTTTGGATTGCATTGACTTGCAGTGGAGATTCAGTATGTGAAGGGCACTCAGGGCAAGGAATTTGGGCTTCATGTCGGTGTAGTGTTTGACTTCTATGAGCTTTTCATTCCTGACCTCCAGTAAACTGGCCTTTTGTGGTGTTTTATGTAAAAACAGTCGCTATTAAACAACTGCTTCTAGAAGGTTTATGATTCTTAAATTGTTTCTATTAAATGGAGTTGTACAGAAAAGAGAAGTTCTGCGTGAAGATTTTAAAGGCCTACTGTTTTACAGGCTTCTTTCATCTCGTAATGTGCTCCAGTCACATATACACACAAGTGCTTCCCTTGACATCTCTCGAAGATGGGAGAAGAAGAATAAGATCGTTTATCCCCCACAACTACCTGGAGAACCTCGGAGGCCTGCAGTAAGTTTCCCGGTAGAACCGTTTTGATTTTGATGAGGCACACACATGTACGGTTATGTGGCTAGCAATGACTTACTCCATGTTAACAACGAAGCAATGTGCACCATCCTTTAATTGACATGGAAAATGCAGTAGGTTTATTATTTCTTTGGCAGTTTAGAAAGATCATCATTGCTTTACTTGTCTGTTTTTTATCTCCAAATAGGGACCTAAAACTAAGCTATAGCTTGACTCTTTTAAGAGGTTTGCTAGTGAATTCTTGTATGGGAAGGTAATGGGTTAGCCAATGGTTAAATTATATATTTGATCTTTCATTGTTTGATGATGGATAGATTTGATTATAGATACCTTATTTTGTTTTGTAGTTTATGTGTGTTTGAACCTAAGGTTTGAATTTAAGAGTTGTATCCCTCTCAGAGAATTTTGTCTTCTTTCAAAATTCTTTTATCATTTTCAAACTGCTGGAGAGTGCTCTATCCCGAGTAATAAGACTAAGCTTTATGTGAGCTTCCAATGGAATCATACACATATGTGAAAAATAGTATAAATAAGATAGGAATGTTTTAGTTCTTAAGAAAGTAAACGTAAGTACTTTAGAAATACAGTACTTTAGAAGTACAGTTACTATGTTAATTATAAATCATTTGATTCATCAAACATCTTTTAAAGTCATTAGATATTCAAGGTTACTGGATAGCCTCATCTAAGCCATAGTAAAGACTATCTCATCTATTTAGTTTTTACATGAACTTGAAAGCATACATGTCATTAAAAAATATTATTGTCTAAGTATTCTAAATTAGTACAGTATTTTCTCCACCCACCCCCCAACCTGGATTTAGGTGAGTTAATTGATTCATTTAAAGAGTTCCCATCTGATTTGGAAATAAGAAAAAGATATGTTAATATCTTAAACAAATATCGTGTGTGTGTGAGCCAACCTTTATTGAAAACCTCCTATGTATTAAATAAATGTAGAAAACTATTATAGTGCAGTAAATTAGAAAAAGCAGATATAGTGTCAAGGGACACTAAGGCAAATTTAATTTTTAAGGCTTCCAACTTTTAAAAAAAAACAATTTTTTCACGTATGTTACGTGGGAGTTTACCTTTCATATCATCAACTTTGTATCGGACAGTTTCAACTGCTAACTAACCTCCTGCCTCGAACAGTTGACCCTTCACGTGCTCCTTGATTTTCGCTCTCGTGGGCTGCTGCCTTCCATTTCACCGTGACCCTCATCAGTAATCCTGTCCCTTGCTTTATCATC